TTGTGAGAAACAAAAGTTATTCATCGAAACCAAAAAAAAAAAATATTCAGGTAATTTTCAAAAATGTAAAAAAAATCATAGGATATTGAAGATTTGACAAAGTTGGCTAAAAAGCCACGAAAAATTGTGGAACGGCCTGTCGATGGTTCGAAATTTCCCAAAAATGTAGCTGGAATTTTCGAAGAAGTAGTTTTCAAAAGTGTGTAAAAATCAAAATTTTTATATGGGGAGCTGGGAAGGATTGAAAAATTGAGCTTGTGCAGATATCCATAAAATTTCTAAAATATAAATATAGACGAGTCTAGTTATTCCAAAAACAGCACTAAGATTTTCGAAATTTTCGGTTTCAAAACCAAATTTTTAAAATATTCCAAAAATGGTCATATTCATTTTGCTTATTTTGGAAATACGATTGGAAATTTCGGCGAAAAAACTTTATATAATTTTAGAAAATGTTGCCAAAAAATCGAAATTAAAAGTTGGAAAATAAATACCTACGAGTTGATTCGAAAACGTAGCTATTTATGGTCCCAAACAAAAATTTTCAAAATTTTCTGTTCCAAAATCAAATCTTTTTGTTGTTTCAAAAATGGCTATATTATGAAAAAATGGTTGGAATTTTCAAAGAAATGAAGTCGAAAATAACTTCTGCAAGTCTAAATTAACAAAAAATTTCTTTAGATAGGTTTTCAAAATTCTCAAAAAAATCAAACAATTTTTGCAGTGAGGGACCGGAAATTTGAGCTTTTAGAAAAATTCACAACATTTCTAAAATAGATATCGACCAGTGGATTCGAAAAAATTGATGGACTGAGATCAACATTTTCAAAATTTTCGGTTTCAAAGCCGATTTTTTTTCTATCTTCTTCAAATAATTTTAGAATGTCTTCGAAAAAAATCCAAAAATTTCATAAAAAACTTAAAAAGTAAGCTCTTTCCAATGTTGCCTAGATATCAACAAAAATTCTGATATGTCTACGAGCAGATTTAGAAACGTAACCTATTCGTGGTCCCAAACCAATCTTTTCAAAATTTTCCGTTTCAAAATCAAATTTTGGAAAATGGTTGGAATTTTCGAAGAAATGAAATCAAAAATAATTTCAGCAGAGCGAAATCAAGAAAAATTGTCTTTGGGTAAGTTTCGACAAAAATTTCATATGGGTTTGAAAAATTGGGATTTTGAAAAATCCACAAAAATTATAAAATGTAAATATCGATCAACCTATTCGAAAAAGAGCACCAAGATTTTCGAAATTTTTGGTTTCAAAACCTGGTTTTTAAAGTATCCTAAAAAATGGTCGTATTCACTTTGGTTATTTTGGAAATATGGCTAGAAATTTTGGCGAAATGAATCCAAAAATAACTTCTGCAGGTCGAAACAAACAAAAAATTCTGGAAAATGAATATCTACGAGTTGATTCGAACCGTAGTTATCCATGGTTTCAGACTAAGATTTTCAAAATTTTTCCAAAAATGGCTAAATTTCAATTTGGTGATTCTGAAAAAATGGTTGGAATTTTTGAAGAAGTGAACCCAAAAATAACTTCTGCAAGGTCGAAATTAACAACAAAATTTCTTTAGGTAAGTTTTCAAAGTACTCCAAAAAATCAAACAATTTATGCAGGGCAGGATTAAAAATTTGAGCTTTTGGAAAAATCCACAACATTTTTAAGGATATCGACGAGTCGATTTGAAAAACAGCATCTAGATAGACTCAGATCAAGTTTTTCAAAATTTTGGGTTTCAAAATCGAATTTTTCTTATATCGCAAATATTGCTCTTTTCATTTTGGCATTTCTGGAAATATGGTAGCAATTTTTGGGAAAGTGGAACCGAAAATAACTTCTGCAGGACGAAATCAACAAAACAAATTATACAAATAATTTTCGAATGTCTTCGAAAAAAATCCAAAAATTTCAAAAGGTACTTAAAAATTGCGCTTTGACAAATGTTGCCTAAAAATTAGCAAATAATTTTGCAAAATAGATATCAACGAACTGATTTGGAAACGTAGTCTATTCATGGTCATAAACCATTATTTTCAAAATTTTCGGTTTCAAAATCAAAATTTTAAAGTATCCCAAAAATTGCCATAATTTATGTTGGCGATTTTGGAAAATGGTCGGAATTTTGGAAGTAGGGAAACCGAAAATGACTTCTATAAATCGAAATCAAGAAAAAAATGTCTTTGGATAATTTAAAACAGTACTTGAAAAAATAAAAAAAAACTATAGCGGTCCTTTCAATGAAAAATTCACCCTGTGGGAAAGCTGCCAAAAAATCCAATAAAAAATGACTATATTACATTTTGGCGATTCGGAAAAAAGTATAAAAAATATAGAAAATTTGACAAAGTTGTCTAAAAAGCCACGAAAAATTTTGGAAGATAGATATCGCCGAACTGATTCGAAAACTGTGTCGATGGTCACAGATCAAGACTTTCGAAATTTTCGGTTTTAAAATCAAATTTTCAAAATATCTCAAAAACGGCCATCTTTCATTTTGGCGATTCTCTAAAAGTGGTTGGGATTATCGAAGAAATGAAGCCGAAGTAAATTCTGCAAGTCAAAATCAACACAACAATTTCTTCACGTAAGTTTCGAAAGTCAAAATTTTCATACTTTAAGGATTGAAATATTGAGATTTTGAAAAAATCCACAAAATTTCTAAAAAATAGATATAGACGAGTTTATTCGAAAAATAGCACCCCGATTTTCGAATCTACGAGCCGATTCAAAAACCTAGCCTATTTATGATTCCAGTCTAAGATTTTCAAAATTTTCCGTTCCAGAATCAAATACTTTGGTCTAAATTTCAGTTTGGCGATTCTGCAAAAATGGTTGGAATTTTGGCAGAAATGAAGCCGAAATAACTTCTGCAAGTCTAAATTACCAAAAAAAATCTTTAAGGAAGTTTTCAAAGTATTTCGAAAAAATCAAAGAATGTATGCAGGGAGAGATTGAAAACTTGAGTTTTTGGAAAAATCTCAAAAACCAGGCTGTTGATGACTCAGATTAAATTCAAAATTTTCAGTTTCAGCACCGAATTTTTCTTATATCTCAAATATGGCCTTATTTTATTTTGGCGATTCTGGGAAAATGGTTGGAATTTTCGAAGCAGTAAAACCAAAAATAACTTCTGCAAATCTAGATAAATCGCCAAAAACATGTTTTTGGGTAATTTACGAAGTATTCGGAAAAAGTAAAAAAAATTCATAACCGTCATTTCAATGAAAAACTGACCCTTTGGAAAAGTTGCCTAAAAATCAACAAAAAAATCTGAAAAATGTAAATATCGACGAACTGATGCGAAAAAATGGCCTACTCCGGTTTCAAATCAAAATTTTAAAATAACCCAAAATGACCATATTTCATTTTGGGATTCTCGAAAGAATTTTCGAACAAATATAAACCCAAAATAACTTCTGCCACTCAAAATCAACACAATTTCTTTAGGTAAGTTTCGAAAGTGCTAAGAAAAAGTCAAAAATTTCACAGAGAAAAATTGAGCTTTTAGCAAAATTGTCTAAAAATTCACAAAATATGAGCTAATTCAAAAAATATTGCCCATTGATGGATCAAGACCAAAATTTTCGAAATTTTAGGTTTCAAAACCAAATTTTTAAAAATATCAATTCCAAAATGGCCATATTTCACATTGGTCATTCTGGAAATACGGTTGGAATTTTCGACAAAATGAAGCCAGAAATAACTGCTGCCAACTCGAAATCATCAAAACAATTTTTTGAGGTAATTGTCTAAAGTATTCGGAAAAAATTAAAAAAATCATCTCCTGCTAACGGCCCCAGACCTTTTTAAACATTTTCCATTTTTAAAATATCCTAAAAATTTTTGGAATTTTAGAGGAAATGAAACCAATAATATTTTCTGCAAGTCAAAATCAACTGAAAATGTCTTGAAAAATTTACGAAAGTATTCGGAAAAAGTAAAAAAAATCATAAACGTCATTTTAACGAAAGATTGACCGTTTGGAAAATTAGCTAAAAATTCATAAACAAAACTCGAAAATGTAGATATCGACAAGCTGATTTGAAAAAAAGGGCCTGTTATTGGTCATTTCATTTTACTATTCTGGAAAAATGGTTTGAATTTTCGAAGATATGAACCCAAAATCAACTAAAAAATTTCTTTAGGTAAATTTCGAAAGTGCTCAGAAAAAGTCAAAAATTTCACCGAGGGGAAGAGATATTGAAAAAGTGAGCTTTGGCAAAATTCTCTAAAAATTCACAAAATACGAGCTGATTCAAAAAATACAGACCCAGATTTTCGAAATTTTAGGTTTCAAAATCAAATTTTTAAAATACTTATTCCAAAAGTGGCCATATATCATATCAGTCATTCTGGAGATATGGTTGGAATCTAAAAATACCTTCTGCAAGTCAAAATCATAAAAAAAAAATTGGGTAATTTTCGAAAGTATTGGGAAAAAAATAAAAAATTTCATGAACTGTTAATGGTCCCAGACCAAAGTTGTTAATATTTTCCTTTTTTAAAATATGGTAAAAATTTTGCCGATTGTGGAAAAATGGTTGGAGTTTTGGAGGAAATGAAGCCAAAAATAATTTCTGCAAGTCGAAATCAAGAAAACATTTCTTTTGATAATTTTCGCCAAAAAGGTTCTTTTCTTTTTTATGGTTAGGAATTTAATTTTATCTATATCTGGTCATTTTCTCTTTAATTATACGTAAATTTTGCACTTCAAGCCACTTAGAGTCTTTGGAAATTTAAAAAGAAATTCTTGATAATATTTAACTTAAATTTTCTAATGTGCTGTTTTATAGTAAATAACTATTTTGCTTTTCATTTTTTCTTAGTGAACTAATTTGCAGATATTCTTTATCCACGTCATTACGGTTTTACTTTTTTCTTTGATTGGATCTTTATTAATAGCTGCATAAACTATCTCTTAGATTCTCTTATTGAGTTTGTTTTATTATCTATTTGTTAGATTTTTTTATTTATTTATTTATTTATTTATTTCGATAACTATGTTATATATATTTTTGCGAAACCAGGTGATTAATGGTAATATAAACTACTTATCATTTTTTCTTTGCTAGATTTTTAATAAAATGTGAGATAAATGTTAACACATTTGTATAAGTATCTTTGGATATTTTTCTATTCAGTTTGTTTTATTATCTATTTTTGTTACTTTTTTTTGTTGTGTATAGTTTTTTTTTTGAGCTGACCTGACTAAACTGTAGCTCTTGTGTTTTTTATTCTTATTAAGACTACTTAAATCTAGGTTATATAGGTATTATGTTTTTGTATTTAAATTTAAGGTTTGCGTGGGCTTTGAAAAGTTTGGAAAATATCAGTTAATTCCAATGCAACAACAACAAATAGAAAAGTTTATAATCGAACTTTGATAATAGTAAAGTGGAACACCCTGTATATAATGTATTCGTGTTTTAATTTAGCTAACTTTCTGTCATTTGACATTAGGTTAACTGAAATGGAATTTCAAAGAATTATTAAAATGAGGAATCGCGCATTAAATAAGTGAATGAAAAAAAATTACTTTACACATTCTTTTAAAACTGCCTCGCCGTCTGAGCCCCCCTTAACCTTGACAAACAATTAAAATATTTCCATTAAAACTATCCGAACATCTCCTCCGATTGGTGTTCTCCGCAGTCATTGCACTCGTCCTCATACTGTCTTTGCTCAATGCATTGTTCACACTATGTACATCCTCCCGTTCTCCTTCTAAGTACGAAATCCCCCAAACACAGCGATTACGTCGTCGGCTCCTTGCTATTAGTGGCCGTTTCCGGCATTTCGTGCTTCCTATTCAGCGCCTGCAGAGTCAATGGCGGCAGAAGGGGAAAGTTGAGGCCTCCCGCCAAACCCGCCGCCTGCTGGAAGTTCGCCACGTGTTGGAGGCTCTGCAGGAGGGCGGCGGAATGTTCCTGCGCTTTCCGACGCAGCTCGGCGACGCTGGACGAACGCTGGTCGCCGCCGGATGGCGAGATCTGAGAGCCGTCGCCAGATGGCAGCAGGCCGGCCATCGGCTTGATGGGGCAGCAGGAGCAGAGCCCGGGAAATCCTGCAACGATACAGTTTTTAGTTATTTTTTAACACCTACATATTACAATTATTGTATTGTTGATAAAATTGTCTATTTTTTTATTAATGATGATCAATGAAAAATTACTGTAGGTTCTTGTAAATTGTAGTTACCGCTACTGATTGTTATTGACATTTGTTAGTTTGTAACATTTTCAAATAATGTCACGGAAACAAAGAAATTTCCTTTATTTAAAATAAAAAAAAGGTCATAGTCAAATCCTTTATGGAACTGAAGAGTTTAGTCCCTTTAACCGGTGAATAACTGAAATAAAAATTGTTAAACGTTGTTTCAATGAGTTTTTACTAAAATTTATCATTCAACTCTTGAAGATTATTTGTTGTAGGTGTCTGGAGCTACCGTTCATAAAATATTTCATGCCTCAAACACAGGGCAAAAACTTAAATCGTAATACTTTCGGTGGTTGCAAAAAGTTTAAATTTTGTGAAGATTATTATTTTCGAGAAGAATTGGGTAGCAAAATTTATAATTACATATAAAAGTTTCGGATTTTTGAAGTTACAATTTTTCAGCTTTTGAATTTTTCAATGTTTACATTTACAATTTCTCATTTCGATTTTTTGTTTTCTTTGTTTTTTCAATTATTCGATTTTTCAATGTTCCGATATTATTATATCTTGTTTTTTAAGTTTCATGACTTGTCAATTTTTCGTTTCTTCTATTTTTGATTTGCAATTTTTCTTGTTTTCGTTTAAATACGTAGTAATAATAATTTAAAAAAAATCCTTTTTCAATTTCACGATTTTAGAATTGTTCCATTTTTAATAATAATAACAATAACAAACATTTTTCCAACAGATCTTCCATGTTTCAATTTATTTCACGATTTATTAATATTTCGATTTTATAATTACTTGTTTATTCATTTTCAATTTTTTCAGTTTTTCGATTTTCTAACTTTTTAGATTTTGCAATTTTTCGTAACGCTCCGAATTTTCATTTTAAAATTTTTCAGTTTTCCATCTTGTGGATGTTTCACTTTTTTAGATTTTGCAATTTTTCGATTTACGGTTTCACGAGTTTTTTAAATTATTCAATTGCTCACTTTTTTAATGTTCTGATTTTATAATTTTTCCTCTCTTCAATGTGAATTTTAATGTTTTTAGTTTTTGACTTTTTCAATTTTCCGTTTTGCAATTTACCTGTTTTCAATTTTTTTTTTTTGATTTTTCAACTTTTCAATTTTTCTAGCTTTCATTTAAATTTGTAATAACAATAATTTTAAAATTTCCCTTTTCCAATTTTACGATTTTAGAGTTTTTCCATTTTTCAATTATGCATTTCAAAAATTTTTCATTTATTCGAATTTTTAACTTTTCGAACTTAATTTTACACTTTTTCATTTCTTCAAATTTTCGATTGACAATTATTCATTTCGTTTTTTATTTTCTTTATTTTTCAATTTTTCGATTTCTCAATGTTTGTCTCAATTTTATAATTTCTTGTTTTCTCATCTTCAATTTTTTAAATTTTTGGGTTCTTCAATTTTTCAATTTTTCATTTTTAAATTTTAAAGTTTTTCGATTTTCTAACTTGTGGATGTTTCACTTGTTAGATTTTGTAATTTTTCGATTTGCGAGTTATGAATTTTTAATTCTTCAATTTCTGAATTTTTCAATTTTTCACGTCTTCAATTTTTCGATTTGCAATTTTTCGTTTCGGTTTTTATTTCCTTAATTTTTCCAAGTTTTTGTTCTGATTTTATGATTTTTGTTTTTTCAATGTGACATTTTCCAATTTTTAAATTTTTCAGTTTTTTCATTTGCAGTTTTTCGGTGTTCAATTATTCGATTTATCAACTTTTGTATTTTTTAATTTTTCGTTTTTTTCATTTATTGATTTTTCAGTTGCATGAATTTTCAATTTTTCATTTGTTCTTTTTTTTTTTGTTTTGCAATTTTTCTAGTTTTTATTTAAATATGTAACAATAATATTGATATTTTTTTTATTTTTTCCTTTTTCAATTTTAGGAATTTAGAATTTTTCAATTTTTCAGTTATTGGCTTTTAATACTTTTTCATTTATTCGACTTTTTCAATTTTTTTTTTCAGTTTTTCGATCCTTCAGTTTTTTCTTTTCTTTTGGTTTGTTTTTTCTTTTTTTATTTTTACAATTTTTGGATTTTTCAATGTTCCGATTTTCTGATTTTTTGTTTTTTCGGTTTCAATTTCTATTGTTTTCCTATTTTCCAACTTTTGAATGTTTCAGTGCCTGGATTTTGCAAATTTTCTATTTGCAATTTCACGAGTTTTCAATTTTCAGATTTTTCAATTTTTCATTTATTCAATTCTTCGATTTGCATTTTTGTTTCGGTTTTTATTCTCTTAGTTTTTACATTTTTCGAATTTTCAATATTCTCCTTTTTTTATTTTTAATTTTTTTAATTTTTGGATTTTTCAATTTTTGGATTTGTAATTTTCGGTTTTCAATTTTAGATTTTTTAGTTTCTCAATTTTTCGTTTCTTCAGTTTTTGATTTGCAATTTTTCTTTATTTTCTAATTTAAATATTTAATAATAATAATGATCATTTTTTTAATTTTTCCTTTTTGAATTTTAGGATTTTAGAATTTTAAAATTTTTCAGTTAATGGATTTTAATATTTTTTCATGTATTCAGCTTTTTAATTTTTCAATTTTTCTATCCTTCAGTTTTTTTTCTTCAAATTTTCAACTTGAATTTTTTCGTTTCTGGTTTTTATTTTCTTTATTTTTACTTTTTTTGATTTTTCAATGTTTCGATTTTCTCATTTTTTGTTTTTTCGGTTTCAGTTTTTTCAATTTTTCGTTTTGCAATTTTGCAAATGTTAATTTCTTTTTTCTTCAATTTTACGATATTCAGCTCTTCCAGTTTTAATTTTAAAATTTTTCAGTTTTCCGATTTTCCAACTTTTGGATATTTCAGTTTCTAGATTTTGCAAATTTTCGATTTGCAATTTCACGAGATTTCCATTTTCAGATTTTTCAATTTTTCGATTCGCAATTTTTGTTTCGGTTTTTATTCTCTTTGTTCTTTCATTTTTCGAATTTTCAATATTTTAATTTTTTAATTTTTAGATTTTTCAATTTTTCGATTTATAATTTTCGATTCTTCAACTTTCAGATATTTTTAATTTTTCCTTTCTGAATTTTAGGATTTTAGAATTTTTCCATTTTTCAGTTAATGGATTTTAATACTGTCTCATTTATTCGACTTTTTAATTTTCCAGTTTATCCATTCTTTAGTTTTTTTTATTCCAATTTTCAATGTGTAATTTTTCGTTTCTGTTTTTTATTTCCTTTATTACAATTTTTCGATTTTATATTGCAATTTTCCAATTTTTCTTTTTTTTTCTTCAATTTTACGAAATGCAGCCTTCGACTTGATTTTTAAATTTCTTAGTTTTCCGATTTTCCAACTTTTGGGTATTTCACTTTCTAGAATTTGCAAATTTTAGATTTGCGATTTTTTGTTTGAGTTTTTTATTCTCTTAGTTTTTTTATTTTTTGGACTTTTAACGTTCTCATTTTTCAATTTTTATTTTTTTCAATTTCTGGATTTTTTCGTTTTTCACGTCTTCAATTTTTATTTTCTTAATTTTTCCAAGTTCTTGTTCTGATTTTATAATTTTTCTTTTTTCAATGTGACATTTTTCATTTTTTCGGTGTTCAATTATTCGATTTATCAACTTTTATATTTTTTAATTTTTCGTTTTTTCAATTTTTGATTTTTCCGTTATATGATTTTTCAATATTTCGTTTATTTGTTTTTTGTTTTGCAATTTTTCCAGTTTTTATTTAAATATGTAACAATAATAATATTTTTTTTTAATTTTTCCTTTTTCAATTTTAGGAATTTATAATTTTTCAATTTTTCAATTATTAAATTTTAATAGTTTTTCATTTTTTTCAGTTTTTCGATTCTTCACTTTTCTTCTTTTCTTTTTTATTTTTTATTTTTAAAATATTTGGATTTTTCAGTGTTCCGTTTTTCTGATTTTTTGTTTTTTCGGTTTCAATTTTATCAGTTTTCGATTTTCGAACTTTTGGATGTTTCAGTTCTTGGATTTTGCAAATTTTGGATTTGCAATTTCACGAGTTTTCAATTTTCAGATTTTTCATCGTTTATTCAATTCTTCGATTTGCAATTTTTGTTTCGGCTTTTATTCTCTTAGTTTTCTCATTTTTCGAATTTTCAATATTCTCATTTTTAATTTTTATTTTTTTAATTTTTGGATTTTTCAATTTTTGGATTTGTAATTTTCGGTTTTGAGTTTTCGATTTTTCAACTTTCAGATTTTTTAATTTTTCGTTTTTCAATTTTAGATTTTTCCGTTTCTCAATTTTTGGTTCCTTCAGTTTTTGATTTGCAATTTTTCTTCATTTTCTAATTTAAATATTTAATAATAATAATGGTAATCTTTTTAATTTTTCCTTTTTGAATTTTAGGATCTTAGAATTTTTAAATTTTTCAGTTTTTGGATGTTAACATTTTTTCTTCTATTCAACATTGTAATCTTTCAGTTTTTCGATCTTTCAGTTTTTTTTTTCTTCAAATTTTCAATTTGAATTTTTTCGTTTCTGGTTTTTATTTTCTTCAAATTTTCGATTTGAATTTTTTCGTTTCTGGTTTTTATTTTCTTTATTTTTACTTTTTTTGATTTTTCAAAGTTTCGATTTTCTCATTTTTTGTTTTTTCGGTTTCAGTTTTTTCAATTTTTCGTTTTGCAATTTTGCAATTGTTAATTTTTTTTTTCTTCAATTTTACGATATTCAGCTCTTCCAGTTTTAATTTTAAAATTTTTCAGTTTTTCGACTTTCCAACTTTTGGATATTTCAGTTTCTAGATTTTGCAAATTTTCGATTTGCAATTTCACGAGTTTTCCAATTTCAGATTTTTCAATTTTTCGTTAATTCAATTTTTCGATTAGCAATTTTTGTTTCAGTTTTTATTCTCTTTGTTCTTTCATTTTTCGAATTTTCAATATTTTAATTTTTTAATTTTTGGATTTTTCAATTTTTCGATTTATAATTTTCGATTCTTCAACTTTCAGATATTTTTAATTTTTCCTTTCTGAATTTTAGGATTTTAGAATTTTTCCATTTTTCAGTTAATGGATTTTAATACTGTCTCATTTATTCGACTTTTTAATTTTCCAGTTTATGCATTCTTTAGTTTTTTTCTTCCAATTTTCAATGTGTAATTTTTCGTTTCTGTTTTTTTTTTTTCTTCAATTTTACGAAATGCAGCCTTCGACTTGATTTTTAAATTTCTCAGTTTTCCGATTTTCCAACTTTTGGGTGTTTCACTTTCTAGAATTTGCAAATTTTAGATTTGCGATTTTTTGTTCGAGTTTTTATTCTCTTAGTTTTTTTATTTTTTGGACTTTTAACGTTCTCATTTTTCAATTTTTATTTTTTTCAATTTCTGGATTTTTTCGTTTTTGAATTTTAGATTTTTCAGTTTCTCGATTTTTCAATTTTTCGTTTCTTCAGTTTTTGATTTGCATTTTTGTAGTTTTCATTTTAAATAAGTAGTAATTTTTATATTAAAACAAATACCTTTTCAATTTTATGATTTTAGAATTTTTCCATTTTCAATCATTTGATTTTTAAACTTTTTCCTTTATCCGATTTTTCAATTTTGCAATTTTTCAATCTTCCGATTCTTCAATTTTACAGCTTTTCGAATTGACAATTTTTCTATTCAATTTGTTGTTTCTACTTTCTAGTTTTCGATTAATAATTTTCTAAGATTTTTTAGTTTCTCGATTTTTAGTTTTTCAATCTTTCAATTTTTCTTTTCTTCACATCTTCGATTTGTAATTTTTCGATATTTATTTTCGAAAAAATGGATATCGAAATTTTGCAAGTTCTCGTTTTATCAGATTGTGGATTTTTTATTTTTTCTCATTTTTCAGTTTGTCGATTTTTAATATTTCGATTTTTCAATTTTCCAATTATTCAACTTTCGAAACAAAAAGGAGACATTTCAAAATTGTAAAATTGAAAATCAAACATGGAAAAATTAAAATACTTGTGTCACTGAAAAATCGAAAAATAAAACTGTAATATCGAAAAATTGTAACTTTGACAAGTTAAAAAATTTGAAAGTCGAGAAGTTGAAAAATTGAAGTTGAAAAAACGAAAAATTGTGATATCAAAAAGGACGAAGTGAAAATTAATTTATTTTGTAGTTTCATAAAAATGCAATTGTTTAACGAATAATTAATTATTATTAAAATTTTCCTAATCTGAAATGTTGTAATGTTTCGCCGATGTAAATTTGGTGTAAATTGGTGTAAATTTTTGTCTGTTGTTTGTAAATTCACAGTCCGTTTTAAGATTTCCAACTCTTCCCAATTCTAATACACTTTAACAATCATGAAATTAATTATTCATGTAAACCACGTGTTATAATTAAATTTTCTGGATATTTTGCTTAAGTATTAGATTATAACACACTTCTCAACTTCTGACTCGAGATTACTAATAGTTCATTTACTTATGAAAATTAAACTGATATTATGTGACGTACGAGGCAATCATCAAAATGTATTTATTTTTGTAACAATATATGAAATTAAAGTTCCGTTTTCACATCCCGAGCTTAAGCTCGATGTCCAGTTTCCGTCCATCCGTCCGTCGCCAGAGTCCCCGCGCCCAACCCCCATCGGGTCGATTTTTAAATTATGTTTATTAACGCGGGATAATTTGTTTTCGGTGTCGTACACCTCGCCGTCTCTTTATCCACTTAGGACCGCGTTATCGTCCAATTTGCCGCCACTTTACACCTGAGATCGCGATCAACTTTAAATTCGATATGTAAGGATGGCGTATAGAGGAGGCGAACTTGTTTCCAAACTCGATTAGGACGATACGCCAGGTCTTATAATAAATCGTGGAGGGATTTTTTCTTGTCTTCGTTGGATGTTGTTACCTTTTAGTGTCGGGAACAGAGGCGGCGAAAATTGCGATGATATATGAGAGGCCAGGTGGGGCGGGAAGAAGAGGGGCGGCGTGTTCCGGGTGGCGGCGTTGCCGTCGAGGACCGGACGAAATCCCGTGGCACTGCAAAAAAAGAGAAGGGTGTTAACGTCAAGAGCGCTAATTTGGGTAAATTGATTGTGTTAACTTGTGTTTGTTGGATGGACGTGGGGTCTGCTTTTGTATGAGGTGGTGCGTGCGCCTATGGTGCGTGAATAATATTGTATTTAGTGGCAATGGTTTTTCTAATAATTTTCATTCGATTTCTGACCCGGCGCCTCCACCATTTTTAAATACAACTTAAATAGTGTGTGATCTTATGCAACTAACAATACCTAACTACGTAGAAAACGATCTCTGAATTAATTAATAAACCAAAAATTGAGTTGAAGAGGTCGCTGACTGAAGTATAATTCAGGTAACACCTTTTTTTTGCAAACTTTTTGTAGTTCCAAGCCCGAGTCTTCTAGCTGAATTTAGCAGATTAGCTCCGTTTCGAAGTTACCTTTCATCGGGATTTTTGCCGATCCGGACCGGCTCCGGGGCACGAGGCCGTGAAAATCCGGCCGGAATGGCCGCTTCCGGCAGATAGCGTAACACCGTAAGTAAGCTACACACGGGATCCAATTAATATGTTAGTGTAGTAAATTAAGCTGTCTGAGGCATTTACGCAAATGCATTCGCTTTGGCACGGCCGTAATTGTGTAGAAGGAATCTTCTCAAATGTCACATATTATATTAAACAATGTCATGAAGGCAGTTTGTGGAATTACGTTAACGTCGAAACGCGATGCCGACGACGATGCCAACCTATATTTTACCTAATTGGGTTAACGTCTGTGTCTAGGAGAAAGTTTACTTTTATAGGGGAATTGCTGTGGCGGTATTAATACGGGTGGAGGCGGAATGTCTGTGCTGAATAATACGTTTTGTTGGCTATATGAGATAGTCGGATAGTAATTACAACTGGATTTTTTTTACGGATATGAATGTTGGATGTTTGGTCTGGGCAACCAGTTGTTAACAGTATTGGGGACAGATACTTTTAAAATTATCTAGATACAGATACAAGAAAACAGATACTTTTTGAAGCTTTGGCGAATAAAATAACTGAAAACATGTTCATGCATTTTTTTAGGTATTGTTTAATGGATTTTTAAAATTAACAACATTTCGAACGTATTGTCACCTAAATTATTTCTTCTTGGTGTCAGAATTTGGTTTCCGCTACTAAACACCCGTTCCACTGGTGCAGAAGAAGGGATTGTGGTATTAAATTTAAAAAATAAACATTTTACTGTAGCATAGTTATTCAAGACTTAAAAATCTTTTCTGTTTCCTGGAAATAGGCCATCGCTTCGCTGTTTGATGTGTCGCAAATTGTGCAACATTTATTACGTACGCTTAAAAAGAATTTTTTTTTTGTTTTTATTCCCATACTACAGTGTCCAAATTGTGTTTGAGTATATCTAATAATTATCTCCAGCATTAAAATTAATATTTCAAAAGAATACGGGAAATTATTATTCTGTGCTGAAGGTCTGTTGTCGGCAACCTGTCATAAATTATTATTCTTCAATATCGGCTTACGATGTTTTTATGACCATGTCCGGTAATCGTCTAGCCCGGTGCGGCAGGTATATACATTTTAGGAAGAATTGCTGGTTCCGTTTAAGGCAAAATAAGTACAATTTCTTAGAAAGGTATTTAAACTCCTTATAGAATCAAAGGCTGCCTGGCAGGCCGGAATCACCAGAGTGCAACTTTAAATTTTCAGATTTTTGTTGAAACTCATTTTATTTTAATCTCATTTCACGATTTCTGAGAATATATCACGATAAATTAGTCTACCGAGGGTTGTAAAAATATTAATTTTAATGCCCAAGATTTACACTTAAACATAATCGGCACATTCTAGGGCAAAACGGACCTGGCAAGCCCGCCTCGCGTTAGGTCCAACAATGAAAAAGTGAAGAAATGACACATGTGGCAACACGAAAAGATGCTACATTTGTCTGAAAAATAAAGATATAAAACAGTAACAAATATGCGATTTATGCGAGAGAAATGTATGTATTGAACATTGGATTAGTCGATTACAGAACTAATTTGTGCTAATTGAAAAAATTAATCATTATGTAACACGCAATTATTATTTTCTAAAAATAATAACATACCTTAAACAAATATTTTTACTATTAAAATTACTCTTATTTAATAACACAAATACAACCAGCAGGCCTACCGGACCCGGGTTGCTCAGGTACACAGGTAAAATGCATTGCCCCGATAAGCGTAAAACGCAGTGAATAGTGAATTGTGGTTTATGGTTTTTAAAATACCATCTTACCATGGCTTAGATTTATTACTCCTCAGGATTATATTTAAAGATGTATACTGAAGGCTACAATGTAGGAAATGATGGTATTTAAAATATGAGAATTTCCGTGACAGAACACTATTAGTTGACCTCTTACCTCTATTTTTGTTTATGTGACCAAAATCACCAACATGAAGTATCAAAAATTACTACTAGTATAACTCAACTAATAACTACTGAAAAAAAAGTGAAATAAAAAAATGTATCTGTATCTGCGCCATTAATTTTGTATCTAGATTCGATACATTTTTTAGATACAAGTATCTAGATACTGCCCAACACTGAGTTGTTAAACTGGTTAAACTCTTTAGAACCTGTAGGAGCAGCATCCCCAGAAAAATTGTCCAATTTCTAGGCCTTCACAATCCAGAAGAATACACGGGTCATATTTTTAGGTGTTCGAGAGCAACTCTGTTAGCAGACTCTGGGGTAGATTTAACAGTTGCAAAAAACACAATGGCTGGCATTCGAATAGTGTTTGAATAATAAAATAGAAATTTCGAGAAGAATCATTGAGCAAACATCAACAATGACTAATAATCAGAGTTAGGCACAGCCGAAGTGATGGGTAATCAACCAGACAAATATTAAAAACGACTGCGCGACGTCAGGTGATAAATTTAGCTGGCCGACTGTGCAGTCTCAACCACGTCTCCACCTCAGTGGCGTTTGATGCAAATCAGGGTTTACCTAATCAAGATCATCACTGAAATTGTAATGTTGAACAGTCATTTTTCATTTTTAAAGTATTTTAACATCTAGGAGAACTCGTATAACTGAGGAAAACCAAGAAAAAGTGGTAATTGTTATTAATAGAGAACGGATTTCTAGGTTTAATGCTTTTTGTGAAAAATGTAAGCACTTCAAAACTTTTTTATATCTATAACTATGATACAATTTGGAGTTATTTGACACATTTTTTTTATGCTTATTTGCTTTTTTTTCAATTTTATGCATATTAAAACTTATATGCTTATTTAATGCTTTTTTCGACGAATATGAGTTTTAATGCATATTTTGTTCAAATGCCGGCCTTGTCGGGATGACAAATACTTGTTAGTTAGCCGTATCGTATCGTATGCATTTTACCTGGACTTGACCGTTGAAGTACACTTACTCAAGACCCTTTCTGTGAATAGGTTCCGGTCGTTTGGGTAATACAATTTTATTATCGGATTGGAAAAATACTCCATAGATTTTATGACTTTAAATCCTTACTTCCGTTGATAATGAATTAAAGCTTTTAACCAGATGTTCTTTTTCGGCATTTTGCGGCAAGATCGTTCAAGATTTTCTAGAAAAAAGGATTATTGTATCCAACTACCTACCTTAAAATTTTTCTAATGGAAACTTTTAAGTAAATGAACCGTTTATTTCACAACCATCAGTCTATCACATCTGTCGTAGTACAGTGTTATACGTGGTTGTCCTTTGTTACATGTTGAGTTCTTTTTGGTAATTTTACTAATATTTTAAAAGAATGCCGAAAGTAAAATCGACGCCGGATGAGTGGATAAGGGATTTTCCAGAATTAAAATTAGAAAACAACAAAATATTCTGCAGAGCTTGTGTGAAAACTGTAAGCCCACTAATTTTTTTTTTATCTGTTTTCTTTTGTTAATCCTGTATATGTACGTTGTTTTAGATTCAAAGTGATAAAAAATATAACGTGACGCAACATGTCAGAACGACTCTTCATGTAGAAAGGAAGAAAATGTTTGAAGTTTCTAAAATTAAACAGCAGACCATACATGAATCTGTTGCATCTACTTCCACAAAAAATGAGCAGTTTCAGTTTAATTTCGATTTATGTAAAATGATGATCCAGTCCAATAGACCTTTAAAAAAATTGGAGAAAGGCCCTCTTCAAGAATTCCTTGAAAAACACTGAAATCGACATATTCCGGTTGAAAGTACTTTCCGAAAAAATTATGTCGGCCCAGTGTTTCAGCAAGTTTACAACGAAATTAAACATCGCATTGGATATAATTATTTATGGTTCGCTGTCGATGAAACAACCGATAGTTGTGGAAGATACGTGGCAAGTTTAATTGTTGGAATCTTAAATGAAAATTTCCCTAGTCGAGGGTATGTAGTAAGTTTGAAAATGTTAGATAAAACAAATGGCAATACGATTACCAGATTTGTAAATGACAGTCTTACGTCACTATTTTTGCCAATAAAATTTTATTGATGATCTCGGATGCAGCTCGTTATATGTTGAAAGCAGGGAATAATCTAAAAATATTGTACCCCAATTTAATTCACTCTACTTGCATCGCCCACGGTTTAAACAGAGTGGCTGAAGGAATACGTTTGCAGTTTCTTACCGTTAATAAATTAGTGGCAAATGGTAAAAAGATGTTTCTTAAAGCCCCACTAAGAGTGCAACATTTTAAGGAAAAATGTCCAAACATACCATTGCCCCCAGAGCCGATTATAACGAGGTGGGGAACATGGCTACAGGCCACATTTTATTATGACAAATATATCAAAGAATTTGAGGAAGTAGTTACGGAGTTTAGCGAAGATTCTTCTCAATCGATTAAAGATTGCATAAATATTTTGGAAAACAAAGATTTGCGAAAAGATCTAGCTTTTCTAAGAAGCAATTATCAATTCGTATGTGAGGTAATAGAAAAGTTAGAAAAACCCAACATGTTGTTGGTAGATGCCATAAACTTAGTGAAAGAATTTAAACAAC